CAAAAGAGACGCGATCATGCCATCCGCGGCCTGGCTCAGCCGATTTTGCAGTTCTAACCATTCGTTTGGGCTGTTAATTCCGCAGAGCGAAGCTTCGCATCACAGAAGTTGCCTCTCAAATTCTGAGCTCATTCCATCGACAAATTCTTCTGAGCAAAGCCAGGAACCTGTCCTCATATTAACATAAAGATTTGGAAATTAAAGATTAAGAAGAAAATCTACTGTAAAGTTCTGCTTCAATTCTGGGCACTCTTATGCGTAAAAGGAGCTCTACGAGGTTCCCCGCGGTCACCAGGTTGACGGTTCACCGCCGGCACCAGTTGGGTCGGTTTTGCGAATATTTGAAAGATATTTGACCATTTATTTTGAAAAAGCAGATTTTTCGCACCTGTAGTGTTATTCCGCGTTTGCCAGTAAAATTTTCAGGTCTGTAGGTGCAGTATTACTATCAAAACACTTGGGGGAACCGACGTTGGATAAAAACAGAAAAACGTGATTTTTCGAGTTTTTTGTTTCTCGCCCAGAAGCTTTCTCCATGTGTTCCGACGATCGCCATGCAAGTAAAGATCTCTACGAGGTTCCCGGCGGTAACCAGGTTGACGGTTTACCGCCGGTCCAGTTCGACGCTACCAAGTGGTCGGTTCAAAATTTTGTTCTCGAGATTCAACCATTCGTTGGAGCTCTAGTATTTTTCCCATGATATTCGATCTTCTTCCCGCTCGCCGTCTTGATCTCAGCTCGATCGGGTAGATATTACTGACAAAAAGCATCCCGGCGGGATCGGCCGTTTCGAGTCATCTTGATACGCGTTGACGTTTTTTGTACTTAACTCGAGCTATAGGACAGCTACAGAGCTGATGCTTACAGGAATCGATTCAAAATCATCAGGCGCGTTTGTTTTTTCAATCTAGAGCTCTGAATTCGGTCTGCTGTCCGAGCTAGGTTCACAAAACTATCCGTATTGTTCGAGTCATCTTGAGAGATGCTGTCGGTTCTCTGTACTTAATTCGGGCTGTAGGGGGGCTAGAGGGCTGATAATCACAGGCATCGATTTGAGACATCAGGCGTGTCCGCCTGTCGAATCCAGAGATCTGAACTCGGTCTTCTGCCTGAGCTAGGTCCGCGAAGCTGTTCGTATCGCCCGACCCACCTTGAGAGGCGTCGGTTTTTTTCCACTTACCTCGGACTGTAGGGGGGGGGGATACAGGGGTGGTAATGACAGGAATCGTTTCCGAGACATCAGGCGCGTCCGCCTGTCGACTCTAGAGCTCGGAACTCGGTCTCCTGCGCGAAACTATTCGCATTGTTCGAGTCATCTCGAGAGGTGCTGTTGGGTTACTGCTTAGGGCTGTAGCGAGGCTACAGGGCTGGCAATCAGAGGAATCGATGTGAAGACATCAGACGCGTCTGCTTGTCGCATTCAGAGGTCTGAACTCGGTCTGATACTCGAGCTAGGTTTCCGAAATTATTCATATTGTTCGAGTCATCTTGAGAGGTGCTGTCGATTTTCGCACGTGACTCGGGCTGTAGGAGAGCTACAGAGCTCGTACGCAGAGAAAGCGATCCAGAAGCATCTGGGGCGTTCGGCTGTTGCATCGAGAGGTCTGGAATCGCTCGGGCTGAAACCATTCGTTCTCTGCAATTTTTTTTTCGATTCAGGAAGCTCTACGAGGCCCCCGGCGGTAAGAAAGGTTGACGGTTTACCGCCGGCGCCCACTTGGCCGACCCGGCCCCGACGGACGATGTGCGAACTTTGGGTCGGTTGGACGAACTTTGTGAGAGATGTGAACATTCGCTTAAAGAGCCGGTATTTTTCGCACCTGTAGTGGGTCGTGTCGCGTCTGCTAATGAATTCTCAGGTCCGTAGCTGCAGTTTTCTATCAAAACACTTGGCGGAACCGTCGTCGGTGACAACTAAAACAACTCCCTTTTTCGAATTTTCACCTTGCGTATCAGAAAAGCTCCTGCCGCATGTTCTAAGCAGCGCCGTGCGAGAAAAGAGCTCTACGAGGCTCGCGGCGGTAACCTGGTTGACGGTTTACCGCCGGCTCCCAGTCGATGAGCTAGAGGAATTCCGGCGCGGGGTGGAGCTAGTTGGCCGACCCGGCCTTAAGAGACAAAGTGGTGACTTTGGGTTGGTTTTGCTGAGATTGACAGATATTTGACAATGCCTCGTATAGCTCTTCGTCAGCGATGAGCTAGAGGAATTCCGGCGCGGGTTGGAGCTTGTATCTCGTAGTGCTCTTCGGCAAGATGAGCGAAGAGGAACTCGGGCGGAGGGTGGAGCTAGTCGGCCGACCCGACCTTAAGAGACAATATGGTCACTTTGGGTCGGTTTTGCAATCTTTGTGCAAAATTTTTAATTTTGTTTTGGGAACCAGACTTTTCTCTCACCTGTAGTGGGTTGTGCCGCGTCTGCCAGTGAAATTCTCAGGTCTGTAGCTGCAATATTACTATCAAAAGACTTGAGGGAACCGTCGGCCGTTTCGAGCATCTTGACACGCGTTGACGGTTTTCTGTACTTCTCAAGATTTATGAGAGGTACAGAGCTGCTACTTACAGAAACCAGTTCAGATTCATCAGGCGCGTTTGTCTGTTCTATCGAGAGGTCTGAACTCGGTCTGCTACTCGAGCTAGATCCGCGAAACTATTCGTATTATACGAGTGAATCTGAGAGGTGCTGTAGCTGAAGAACGTAACTTTTGAAGATTTTCAGCTCACGCGTAAGAAAGCTCCCCCCATGTGTTTCAAGCAGCGTCGTGCAGACAAGAGCCCTACGAGGCTTCCGGCGGTAACCTGGTTGACGGTTTACCGCCGGCTCCTAGTTGGCCGACCCGACCAAAAGGGACAATGTGACAACTTTGAGTCGGTTTTGCTAATAGTTCAAAGATATTGCAACCGACATGAAGTTCATAACAAAAAATGAAAATTCGATGTTTTTCTAGAAATGCCCCAATAAGCTGTCTGCTTTGAATCTAAGCACTCTTACGCGTGCAAAGAGCTCTACGAGGTTCCCGGCGGTGACCAGGTTGACGGTTCACCGCCGGCGCCAGTTCATATTGAGGAACCAAATGCTTCTCACGTGTAGTGGGTTATGCCGCGTCTGCCAGCTAAATACCCAGGTTTGTAGCTGCAATATTACTATCAATAGACTTGCAGAACCGACTTTGGATGGAAACCAAAAAATCGTGATTTTCCGAGTTTCTCGGCTCTCGCTTCAGAAGCTTCCTTTGTGGGTTCCGAGGAGCGCTGTGCAACAAAAGAGCTCTAGGAGGTGTCCAGCGGTAACATGGTTGACGGTTCACCGCCGGTTCCCAGTTGCTCTCCGGGTTTTGGACGCTACCAAGTTTTGAAATTCGTTTTGCAAATTTGAATTTGCATTCTATGCAGTAAATCATGGCGCTTTCGATGGTGCAATGCTCAGGGCCCTAGCTGCACTATTTCGATGAAAAGACAAGGGGGAACCAACACTGTGTGCGACCGAAAACAACATTTCTTTATTTTTCAATCTCGGCGGACCTTTTGCTAATACCTCGTAGAGCTCTTCGTTTTCGATAAGCTAGAGGAATTCCGGCGCGGGGTGGAGCTAGTTGGCCGACCCGGCCAGATAAGAAGATGTGATAACTTTGGGTCGGTTTTGCGAAAATTTGAGAGATATTCACAATTCATTTTGAGGAAGCAGATTTTTTGCACCTGTGGACGACTATCTGGGCCTCTCTGTCTTAATATGAGCTCTATGGGCGCACTTTCACTATCCCAACACTTGGCGAATAGAACTTTATGTCGAACTGTTCATTTTTTTGAGCCATGCCTCCAGAAGCTCTCTGCTTCGACTCTGAGCACCCCCACGCGTGGAAGCAGCTGTACGAGGTTTCCAGCGGTGACCAGGTTGACGGTTCACCGCCGGTGCCATTTTTTCCCGGGAGCTCTCTGAGAGCTAGAGGGCTCTAGAGTAGAAGCCAGACGGTGGTGGTGCCCGCCAGCAGCCCATCTTTGCCGGTCCACGATCTCCGCAGCAAGTGGCCCCGGGTCGGCTCGTCCAGGAGAGTTTCGAGAAACGAAGAATCTTTATTTTTGGAGCTTTTTCGGCACTTGAGCAGCTTCCTCCATGTGTTTCGAGCAGCGCTGTGCAAGAAAAGGGCTGTACGAGGTGCCCGGCGGTAACCTGGTTGACAGTTTACCGCCGCGTCCCAGTCGGTCGACATACTTCGTTGAACTCTTCGGCAAGATGAGCTAAGAGGAATCCAGGGGTAGTGTGGAGCTAGAACCTCGTAAAGCTCTTCGGCATCGATGAGCTAGAATACCTCGTAGAGTTTCTGGCAGCGATGAGCTGGAGGAATTCCGGCGCGGGCTGGAGCTAGTTGGTCGACCTGAGCAGAAAGAACAATGTGGCAACTTTTCGTCAGTTTTGTTAACATTTGAGAGATATTAAACCATTAATCTTAAGAAAGCAGGATTTTTCGCACCTGTGAACGACGATGAGGGCCTGTGTGTCTAAATATGAGCTCCGTAGGTGCAACTTCACTATCAAAACACTTGGCGGAACCAACTTCATCTCGACATGAAAAATATGAATGTTCAATTTTTCGAGAAATGCCTCTTGAAGCTCTCTCTTTCGATTCTGAGCACTTCATGCGTGGGAGTAGCTCTACAAGGTTCCCGGCGGTGACCAGGTTGACGGTTCATCGCCCGCGCGAGTAATTCCGGCGCGGGTTGAGCTAGTTGGTCGAGCCGACCAGAGAGAACAAAGTGGCAACTTTGGGGTGGTTTTGCGAATATTTGAAAGATATTTGACCATTTATTTTGAAAAAGCAGATTTTTCGCACCTGTAAACGACTAGGGCTTCTCCGTCTTAATATGAGCTGTGTAGGCGCACTTTTACTCAAAACAGTTGGCGGAACCAACTTTGTGTCGACATGAAAAAATCAATGTTCAATTTTTCGAGAAATGCCTCCTGAAGTCTGAGCACTCTCACGCGTGAAAGGAGCTACGAGGTTCCCGGCTCAAGCCATTTCGGCTCAAGCACGCGGCTCAAGGCTCACGTACCCGTACGCTTTCGACTGCCTGGGGAACCTCCTCGAAGTCGTGCGGTAGTGGTTAGCGGAGTTTTCTGTGCACACGGACCGTACTATCATCAGTGTGTGCCTGGGTCGCCGGAGCCTCAAGGCGCCTCTACTGTGCCAGCGCCTGTATCCTCAATTCATTGCAGTTTTTGCTTGGGATCGATTCCCCGGCCAGTGGGTCGTCTTGTTCTTGTCCAGAGTTGTGGCAGTCTATTCTTTAATCGCCGGCGTGTGGTTTATCTATTTCTCCTTCCTTTCTCATCACGTCTTCTTCGCCTTGTGTGGAGTCTCATCGCTATTCTTGCCACTTCGATCTTTGCGTCTGTGATCATATTTCTCGATGCCGCATGTCCGGAGCCGATATCGTGCATATATGCGTCAACTGCGAGGGTTCAAAGGTGGATTTTGCTCGGCGCCCAGGCCCATCCCTCCACCACCCGGTCTGGAGCCCAGAGTGCAGCTCACATTGCAAAAGTTGGCGCCAACCACCACCGACATTTTGCTGGACTATCTCGCGCCGAAGGCCAGGAAGAGTATATCCACGCGTGTTGCTTCTGCCACAGTTGTTTCTGGAGACGCGACAAAGCTTTCCGTCCGCACGAGAGTTGCAGCCGTCTCAATTCAGGGTCGTACTTTGGCTTCTTGGGGATCAGATGGATTGCAACTGTCGGCGACTAATGATATTGCTGGCATTTCACCACACATTCCTGCGGAGGTGTCTCGTGTCAGTTCTCGGAGGCCCCCGGAGCCCAAAAACGAGGACTCTAACAAAGATCATGATTGTCAAGTTGTTTCTTTGGGATCAGATGGATTGCAAGTTGTGGCGGCGGACAGTATTGTTGGCGTTTCATCGCACTTTCCTGTTGATTCTGCATCTTCCTCTCCTCGGAGGCCCCCGGAGCCCAAAAATGAGGACTCTAACAAAGATCATGATTGTCAAGTGGCTTCTTTGGGATCAGATGGATTGCAAGTTGTGGCGGCGGACAGTATTGTTGGCGTTTCATCGCACTTTCCTGTTGATTCTGCGTCTTCCTCTTCTCGGAGGCCCCCGGAGCCCCAAAACGAGGACTCTAACAAAGATCATGATTGTCAAGTGGCTTCTTTGGGATCAGATGGATTGCAAGCGTCGGCGATGGACGATATGGTTGGCATTTCTTCGCACATTCCTGTTCATTCTGCTTCTTCCTATTCTCGCAGTCCCCCGGAGCTCAACAAAGACAAGGAGGAGGAGGAGGAGGATAACAATAACAATAATCCTATTTGTGAAGCTGTTGCTCCCGTTATGCATCATCTTGTCGTTCCTGGGAGCTTACGTATGAAAAGGTATTGCTTCAAAAGGTATGTTCCGGCGGGCGAGCAGGGTGAGAAAGTTGCGGCTGCAATCAAAGCCGCCTTGGCTCACGTAGACGTTCCCTGGGAAACGTTTAGCGATGATGCACGCAAGAGTGAGCATTTCAACAGAATGAGTGATGATATGCTCTCAGGGATCAGTGGCTCTCTGGATTTCATCTATGCTCATCATGCTGCGCGGGATGAACAATGGAATGCATTTACTGCGTGGCTAAGGGATCCTGACCGCCTCACAAGGATTGAGCGGCAAAACTGTATAGGTCATCTTGCTGTGGTTCATTGGGTCAGGACGGCACGGACAGGGTCAGACAAATATGAACGGAAATTGCGTATCGAAGCGTGGAACGATTTCATCTTCCAGGCGTTTCCTCACACTCCCAGCCTCTAGTCTTCTCTATCTGTGTGGTGTGATGTCTTTCTTGGTCTCAATCGTTGGACATGGCGTGTTTCGTGGGCTCCCCGCACGTTGTCTGATACTGGGCCAAGCGAACGTTTCCCGCCGCATGGCCCGCGAGGGCCTTCTATGTTGCACGTATCTCCTGCTGTCACCAGGCCCGCCAGGGCCACCGATACACGTACGAACAGTACCTGTCGCTGCCGTACGAAGAATCATGCTACGAACTTTGCCTCGTCAAAGCTGGCTTTGATGGTGGTGTGTGCAGCCAGGGAGCTGGATGTGGTGCTTGGATTCAGATTGGATTGCGTTCTCGTTTCCCATCTCTCTTCTATGTCCTTCTTCTTGAGCCAACTCACTCTTCAAGGATGTATATGTTTGTTTCTTTGCTCTCCAAGACGGGTCCACGGTGACAGACACTGAACTCTCCGCTGCTGAGTGCGTTATCGGAGCACTCCCACGGGTTCTGCAGGCCTATTTTAGCGATAAGTTGTGTGATTGATGATTCTCATTTGTGTTGTTGCCTTCATGCGTGCACACATTTGTGTTGATGTACACACTCCTTATAAGAGCTGCCAGAGGCTACCGCCTAAGCCGCCCCCCACGCGCTTGGCGTGGTGAGGCTTTCGCCTTAGCCGCTCGGTGGCCCGCGTTTGGCGTGCCCGCCCGCCTCGGACTGGACGGGGCCTTAGGGCCCGTGTGTCCGCGAAACGAAAACCAGGTTGAAGGGTCACCGCCGGCGATCAAAAGACTTGAGGGAACCATCGGCCGTTTCGAGCATCTTGACACGTCTTGACGGTTTTCTGTACTTCTCAAGATTTAGGAGAGTTACAGAGCTGCTACTTACATAATCCGATTCAGAAACATCAGGCGCGTTTGTCCGTTCCATCGAGAGGTCTGAACTCGGTCTGCTACTTGAGCTAGATCCGACCTATTCGTATTATACGAGTGATCTGGGAGGTGCTGTCGGGTTCCCCACTTGAATCAACCGACTTTCGATGAAAGCTGAAAAACGTAATTTTTAAAGCTTTTCAGCTCACGCGTAAGAAAGCTTCCCCCATCTGTTCCAAGTCGTGCAGACAAGAGCTCTACGAGGCTCCCGGCAGTGACCTGGTTGACGGCTTACCGCTGGCTCCCAGTTTTTTTCTCGAAATTCAACCATGTGTTGAAGTTTTAGTATTTCTCCCGTGATAATTCGATCTGATTGCCGACATGCCGTCTTAATCTCAGCTCGATCGGGTACCGCTTACTGCCCAAAAGCGTCCAGGCGGGATCGGCCGTTTCGAGTCATCTCGACAGGCGTCGTCGTTCTTTATACCTAACTCGAGCTGTAGGACAGCTATAGAGCTGATACTCGCAGACACCGATTCAGAATAATCAGGCGCGTTTGTCTGTTGAATCCAGAGCTCTGAACTCTATCTGCTGCCCGAGCTAGGTTCGGGAAACTAGTCGTATTGTTCGAGTCATCTCGAGAGGTGCTGTCAGTTTTCTGTACTTACCTCGCGCTATAGGGGGGCTACAGGGCCGCTAGTCTCAGGAATCGATCTGGAGACATCAGGCGCGTCCGTCTGTCGATCCAGAGCTCGGAACTCGGTCTGATACCCAAGGTAGGTTCGCGAAACTATTGGTAGTGTTCTAGTCATCTTCAGAGGTGCTGTCGGTTTTCTGCACTTAACTCGAGCTGTAGGGGGGCTACAGGGCTGGTAATCTCAGGGATCGATTTGGAGACATCAGGTGCGTCCGCCTGTCGCATTTAGAGGGTCTGATACTCTATGTTCGCGAAGCTATTGTATTGTTCGAGTCTTCTTGAGAGCTGCTGTCGATTTTCGCACGTAACTCCGGCTGTAGGAGAGCTACAGAGCGTACGCACAGAAAGCGATCCAGAAGCATCAGAGGCGTTTGGCTGTCGCATCGAGAGCTCTGAAATCGCTCGGGCTGAAAAAGTATTCGTTCTCTGCATTTTTTTGACATTAGCTCTGCGAGTCCGCGCGTGCGCGGCCCGGCTCGAAGACTGGAGTTCGCGGCCCGACGAGACCTAGGATGCGCGCGCGGCCCGGGGCGAAGATCCGGGACTCGCGACCGATCTGAGCAGGTCGCTAGACTGCTCGTGAGGGGCATGCGACTTCCGGCTCAGAGTAGAGAAAAGTAGCAAAGAAAGAGAGGGATAAACAGAAGAAGAGGATAACTCCTAGAGCGAGCGTCAGCGGCGAAGCTACAAAAGTAATTCCGCGCGCTGGGGGGCTAGTTGGCAACACAGTCTCGACAGAAGTTTTGCGTAATTTCGCCCGGTTTAAATTCGATTTCTCGGAATGATTCGTAGAGCTGCCCTAAGAGCGTTAGCGGCGAAGCTAGAAGAGTAATTCCGGCGCGCTGGGGGGCTAGTTAGCAACAAAACGCGACGGAAGTTTTGCATAATTTTCTTCGGTTTGAATTCGATTTTTCGGAATTTGAACATTCGTTGGAGTCCTGGAATGTCTTCTCCTTATTCGATCTTAGGTCGATCGGGTATCTGTTACTGCCGAAAGCATCCCGGCGGGATCAGATATTCTGTGGCATCTTAGCAGGTGCTGTCGGTTTTCTGAATTTTAATTGAGTTTCTGATGAGCTAAAGAGCTTGCAGGAACCTTAATGCATCTAGAATCATCATGCGTGTTCGTCTCGAGCATCTAGATGTCTGAAATCTGTCTGCTAACAGAACAGGGCCCGCAAAACTTTATGTTCTCTGCTAAATTTCTTGCAGATATTATCCAGTTTTGTTAGATAACTCGAGCTGCAGATATTAGAGCTGTTCGGCACAGCGATCAAGATTCTTATCAGGGGTGCTAAAGTATCTAGATGCCCGAACTCGGCCTACTGCCAGAGCAGGATTCGAAACACTATGTGTACCCTGCTATTTTTTGCAGAGATGTCGATTTTTTGCTTGAACTCGAACTGAAGACGAGCTACGGAGTTGTTTGTCACAGCACTCGGAATAACAGCATCAGAAGCACTAGTCTTGAGTATCTAGATGCCTAGACACGTTCTCCTTCGAGAGCTGGGTCCGAAAAAACGATTCGTACTCTGATTTTTCGAGAGATGTTGATGGTTTTCTTGATCCAAATCGCGCTGCAGATGAGCTACAGAGCTGGCAGGCGCATCGAATGCATGTATAATCAGGATGCGCGTTCGTCTCAAGTATCTGGATGACTGAAATCGGTCTGCCACCAGAACTGGGCCCGCAACACTATTTGTACTCTGCTAATTTTCTCGGAGATGATGATGCGTTTCTTTAGATTTCTTGAGCTGCAGATGGGCTACGGAGCTGTTTGGCAGCAGTAAGAAGAGAATCGTCAGGCGCGCTAGTCCAAAGTATCTAGATGCCCGAACTCGGCCTGTTACCAGAGCTGCATTTGAAAAATTATTTGTATTGTGATGGTACCTTTCTTGGGATAACTCGGGCTGCTGATGAGCTACAGAGCTGTTCGGCACAGTAATCGGAAGGAAATGACCAGACGCGCTAGTCTCAAGTATCTAGATGCCCGAACTCGTCACGCTTCCAGAGTTGGAACCAGCAAACTTTTCGTGCTCTTATTATTTTTCAGAGATGACGATGCCTTTCTGGATGCTCCGCGTCCTTCTCCTCTTCCTTCTCCTATTCCCCCTCCTGCTTCCCTCCCTTACCCTCCTCCATCTCCTTTCTCCTCACTCCTTCTTCTCCTTCAGTCCTCCTCTATGAAACCGCGCCCTCGCGCGCGCGGAATGCGAGATTGCCGCGCCCGCATTGCGCGAGGAACGACTCGTGGAGTTTCCTTACAAGCGTTAGCGGCAAAGCTAGAAGAATAATTCCGGCGCGTTGAGGGACTAGTCACTCGTAGAGCTTCCCAAAAGCGTTAGCGGCGAAGCTAGAAGAGTATTGCCGGCGCGCTGGAGGTCTAGGTGACAAAAAAAGTCGACGGATTTTTTTTCATACTTTTGCTCGGTTTAATTTGGATTTCTCGCAATGTGACCATTCGTTAGAGCTCTAGTATTTTTTCCCATCTTCGATCTTCTTTCGGCTCGCCATCCTAATCTCAGGTCGTTCGGATACATTTTACTGCCAGCAAACTTCCGGGCGCCATCGACTGTTCAGTCATCTTGACAGGTGTTATACATGTATATAAAACTCGAGCTGTAGAAGAGCTACAGAGCTGGCAGGCACACCTGATACATCTAGAATCATCAGGCGCGTTAGTCTCAAGTATCCAGATGTCCGAACTCGGTCTGCTACCAGAACCAGGCCCGCAAAACTATTCGTACTCTGCTAATGTTCGTGGAGATGATGGTCAGTCTCGTGATTCAACTCGAGCTGCAGATGAGCCACGTAACTCTTTGGCACAGCAATCGGAAGATAATCTTTAGAAGCGCTAATCTCGAGTATCTAAAATCCCTAACTCGGTCTGCTATTAGAGCTGGGTCCCAAAAAGAACTACTCGTGCTCTGCATTTTTTCGAGTGGTGATGATTTTCTGGACTGAATTCGAGCTCTGGATAAACTACAGAGTTGTTTATTACAGTCATCGAGGGTATGAAGATGCCCGAACTCGGTCTGCTTTCAGAGCTGGGTCCGAACAAACTATTCGTACTCATTTTCTGAGAGAGAGAGGAATGTGATTTCCTTGTGATTTCTCGAGCTGCAGATGAGCTACGAGTTTCTTGGCACAGCAAAAATAAGGGAAATCAGCAGGCGCGCTAGTCTCAAGTATTTAGATGCCCGAACTCGGTCTGCTTCCAGAGTTGGAACCAGAAAACTCCTCGTACTTTTCTTTTTCTTCAGAGATGACGATTTTTTCCTTGATCCTCCACCTTCTCCTCCTCCTTCTGCTCCTCCTCCTCCTCCTTTCTCCTTCTCTTCCTCAGCCTCCTCCATCTCCTTCTTCCTCACTGCTTCTCTTCCCCCAGTCCTCCTTCATGAGACCGCGCCCTCGCACGCGCGGCATGCGATATTGCCGCGACCGCATTTGGCTCAAGGAAGCTCTACGAGTTCCCGGCGGTAACCAAGGTTGGTTAATGCTGGGGCTCGTGGGGCCTCCTCGTGCGGCTCGAGCTGCATTGTGCAGTCAGGCAGCCTGCCCCTGGCCTGGCCCGCCGCGCGGGGGCGCGTGGCGATTGGGCCACTCGGCATCTTCGGCGACTTCGGCGAGTCCGAGGCAAGCAGGCCGCCTGCCATTTGTTTGTATTTGTTTGTGTGCATTGTTGCGGCATTTTGCTGCATCGAGCTGGACGGGACGAGCCAGAGTTCATCGATCGATCTGGACCGCTGGGGATCCAACTTCGGACACTGGGAGTGGGAATATCTTGCCAGACAGGTTGGTGTATCTTGTCACGACGATAAAGATTCTCTAGTTGACATACCATCTGGACCACCTGATCTCTCTCCCACTTTACCTCACAATCCTGTTGCCCCATGTAACTTTCATCAGTTACGTGCGCATCTCAAACGTACTCGAGAAGATCGATTGTTCTGTGAGAAGTGGAATATCCCTTGCAACATCTCAGACGGCAAGATGGCCGCCTCATCAGCTGCTGCGGTCCCCGAGATTTTCGCCATGGATGCCACTGATATGCCCGTTCCAGGAGCCAAGGAGGAGGAGGTCCCAGAGGGAAAACGTGACAAAGTTCAGACGGTTGAGGGCCTCGAGGAGGCCATGACTAGGGGTATGGACAAGATCACGACGCTTGTTGCATCTCTGGGAGGTAAGATCACTGACGGCTTCCAGTCAACCCATCGGAGCATCAC